ACAGAATATACTAACCTCGTTGTTTATGTCTGGTTTATGTACTGCTTGTATAGCCAGCACTATATGTTTTCATTCTTAGAAGATAATAATGATGAGTAATGTGAGAGAGTTTTCAGTGTCCTTTTATATAATGTCCTTTTTTTTTTATTAGAGCAAGGGGAAATATACTTGGAATAAAGTAATAACTGTTTTGAGCCATTACCCTTTATAAAATTTGTTATTTAACTTGCTTCTCTTATAAGAATCTCTGTTGGGCAGATAAAAATACTGACTCCTAGGGAGTTCCCTGGGATATTGTAAGATCTTGGGTAGAATAGAGTATAGGAAACAAATAGCTCCTGCCTTGATGCAATCTTTGCTGCTAGAACTAATCTTTTTTTAGATCATGAATTTTTTAGTAGCCTAAATTTTGAGTTATCCTTAATTGAGGTTTTTGGTTGTTAACTATACCACCCAGGTGGTGCTTTGGATTAACAACTGGAGAAAGGAGCTGTAATGCAATTAAAGTAACCTTGGCAACCATTATCATGTAAATGAGTCTCACTGGGAAGGAAGTGAGAGTGTGGGCACTTGTTAGGGCATTCTTTTACAACGAAAGCTGACTAGCATTTTGCTATTTTACAGACCTGGTGTAGCTGCTCCTTGGACACCATCGAGTTCTGTGCTACTCCAGCCTTCTTTTAGTTTTCTCAGGAGCTAAGACCACATTTTAATTTGTGTATAAAACAAAACTAATCTCCAGATGTGCTTATCGTCTTCATACACATAATGATCTCTTTTATCTTTACTAACATTACTTTTTTCTCACTGCCTTTTGGCACTAACATGGCTGCAGCCCTGCCCCAAATCTCTGATGCACAAAGAAAACCACTTAGGTTTCCGGAGAAACACTGGTGTGTGTGCTTAGTATACCCTGTTGGCCAAGATTTGGCTTATGGTAGAACTGATAGTGCCTATGCTACTCTTTAAGCAGCATGAAAGAGACAAAAACTTGGTTTCAATCTTAATATTTTGTTTTAATTTTTAAGCTTTAAGCAGTAAACGTTTCCATATGTTTTAGAGTTTCAGTGGAGGCTTACTCTTTGTGGATTTAGCAATTGGATAACTGGAGGAGAATAATAAGAGTGAAACCAAATTGGGATTGTGTACTGTGCTTGTTTATTACCTTCCTAATGAGTTAAGTGATTTTAACTAAGAGCTTGTGAGTGAAAAGCTTAAGGTTCTTATCCAGGGTTAACCATTGTCATGTTAGTGCTAAACAACTAGCTTCCATCATCCTCAAATTTCTCTTTGGGAAAACAATGACTTTCTTTTTTATTTTATTTTATTTTTTATTGATTAAGGTATTACATATGTA